AATTTCAAGGGTTATCAAGTGTGTTTCATCAACACTTTACAAAGTAATTCTTAAAATTGAACTAAAGATGTATTGAGAACTCAAATTTTAGGGTCTGATTAATTTTTTTTATTTTCTTGTATTTCGTGACGTTCGACGCCCTGTATCTGTAGTTTAAATGTGACCATGGCCATACGAAATAAGTAAGCATATAGATTAACTGAACCATGTGCGGAGTTGAAGCTCCAGAGGAAAACTGCACAGGGCAGACCGTTCTTAAACGCGGCTGCTCTTAAACACATAAATTGGTTAATTCATTGCTTTCATTCTCTTTCTCAAAATGGTACAATAATTTTGACAAAAACTATCGATATTATCCGTTATTTGTATTTTCAGTTACAGTTATGTTTTATATTATGAAGTAACGGGTGACGGAAGAGGTATAGGATTTGATTTTCAAAAATAAACAACAAAAATTTGAAAAAACGAATAAATCTTTATTTGAGTCGATAGAACGGTCGATATAATTTAATGTTTGAAGATTATTTCATGTAAATGTTGGCCGCGGCTCCGCTTTAGATGGCCCATGCGCAAGGTCCAATTTTGGCACACTCTCTCCAACATATCGGCCGGTATCTCACGAATAAATGCTTCAATATTGGCTTCCAGTGCGTCAATCGTTGCTGGTTTATCCCTGTAGACATTAGTCTTAACATGGCCCCACAAGAAATAGTCCAACGGCGTTAAATCACACGATATAGGCGGCCAATTGACGGGCCCCAAACGTGAGATAAACTGTTCACCGAACTCTCCTCTCAATAGGGCCATTGTTTCGTATGCGGTGTGGCATGTGGCACCGTCTTGTTGAAACCACATGTCAGCCAAGTCCAGCTCTTTCATTTTGGGCAAAAAAAAGTTTGTTATCATCGCACGGTAGCGCTCGCCGGCAGGCCGACCATATTGCCCATAAATTGGAAGCAGTGCTCGATGCACACTCTTAACCGAGCATGAATTTTGATAGTAAAATTCAATAATTTGCCAGCGTTGTTCGTTCGTAAGTCGATTCATGGTTAAATTACAGACCAAACTGAACGAGTTTGACAATGACACAAGACACGATTCACGCGTCATATGTCAAAAACAGTGTTGCCAAAAAGATACTAGCAAAAAAATCACCCATTACAATGAAAGATAAAAAAATATTGACTGACAGTGACAAGCATAGATTAGGAAAATTCATACGTTTGCGAGAAAATGTTTGAGGTAGCAGAAAACTATAGCCGGTATGTCTGGGCTTACACAAACAAACGATCGTTTCGTTTTTGTTTCGTTTTTTACTGTTTTAAGCTTCAGTGAGCAACGTGCAGCTGTGAAATTTTGCTTTCTAATTAGTAAAAATGCTGCTATGGGAAAAACTCATGCGTACGAGTAGTTTGCTCGATTTAAAAACGGCAAAAAGACCCGATTTGAGGCAGTCAGGAGACTGGTACCCCCTCGTATGTATGATACCTGTACTTGGTCTCCGATACAAAATATAGCAATACCCTCAATATACAATTACAATGTCGATAGTCTGTGTTAAATTTATTGGTATCTTTTTAGAAAGTGAATGAAAACAGCGGTCTTACATTACCCAATTCATGTATGTGTGTGTGTGTGTGCATGAGCGAGTACCAGCAGCTGCTTTAAGTACAGTGGTAGGTACTTTCCTCTACTAGCTGACAATATTTTCTCTTAAAGCTTTTATCTTCCCACACAAGAAACGTATTATGGTCGCGAATACTTTTAGCATGTTGTTCAAGAAGAACCGTCTCACTATTTGGTTACTTGTCTGCCTATTGGCACCGCCGCGTAATCTCAGTAGGTGATGCACGCTGCACCAGTTGTGTTGTAATATTTGTGAAATGGTATGTTCCTTTTTCATGTTTTAATTTACGGCTGGGATCAAAATTGTACTTTATGAATATGGCAACATGGCGACCACGAAAACTTATTTATTCGTTGTTAGGCAACGGACGGTGCAACCACCGATGCCAATAGTGCTATTTATTCTTATTTTAATCCCACTTAAAAGCTACTCGAACCTTTTGATCTCAGCCTTCCGCATACCTGGTTTTTCGTATTCGACACTCGCCATTGGGATCTCGAAAACGGGCGAAGTCGCTTAACTGGAAGCAAAGTTGCATATTTAGGTAACTAACAAAACGTAATTCGTTTCGTGCACCACATTTATCGCAAAATCGTGATTTCCTGGTTATATTTAAAATGGGATTTTAAAATAAATTGCATATTAGCAATCTCTCAAATGGTTGTTTCTGATTTCGATCTCCATCATCAACATTGCTTTATCTTATGGAATCCACGTTAAAATGTTGCCCCATTTTGCCCTTTGATTGTATATTTAGCTATGAATATACAGGGTCCGTCAGAAAGAATGCATGTTTTTAGAATGGGTACCTTCATCGAGTGGGCCGGTCCCTTGTCGGTGGGGAAGGGCGTGTTGGATAGTGGGAGAAGTGCAGTTTCAGTTGACAAGATACTTCACTGTACGCCGGTACTTTCAAAATGGCGAGTCTGTCGTTCGAACGACAGTACCAGACCGTAACACCATTTTGAGGTGGGTGGAAGCATTCAACACAACGGATAATGTGATGAAGGATTTAGTGTTCCATCCTTACAAAATCCAATTTTGTCAACAACTGTTGCCAGGGGATTATGCACAACGTGCTAATTTTGCACAACTCATGATAGAACAGTCAGATAACAATGACATGACGTTGTTTATGAGCGATGAAGCACATTTTCATTTACATGGATACGTCAATAAAAAAAAATTGTCGATATTGGTCACCAGTGAACCCCCAACAGTTGCATGAGCACCCCCTGCATACTCCGACAGTTACAATTTGGTGTGCAATAGGCCCAACGATGATTATTGGCCCTAATTTTTTGAGGATGATGGAGACACAACTACCATGAATCCAGAGCATTACACACACACTGTATCACAACGACGTGTTATCTCTGTTACAAATTTCCTTGTTTTTTGTTTATAACTGAGAAACAAATAAATTTCTATTCTATTCTATTCTATTCACATGCTGAACAACTTTTTTTTTCGGAACTTCGACGTCGGCGTATCTGTCTCAGAACAGTGTGGTTCCAACAAGACGAGGCAACATCTCACACAGTTCGCACTTCGATGGAACTTCTTCGGCAAAAATTCCCAGGACGTCTCATTTCACGTCATGGCGATATTCAATGAACCCCTCGCTCCCCGAACCAATCGACGTGTGATTTTTTTTATGGGGCTACCTGAAGTCAAAAGTTTACCAAAGCAAGCCTCGAACCCTCGTCGATTTGAAGGAGGAAATAAGAAGAGAAGTAACCCAAATTCCTGCACGGATCTGGCCGATACAATGAGTGCATTTCGGCTCAATGGCGCCATATGGCCGACAGTTTTTAGAACGTAAATTTTGCGTTACTCAAAAAAATGGCTTGTATTTCTGAGTATTTTGATATAATAAAATATTTTTCCCATACTTATTTTGACTGTACTACTCGTTTAAAAAACATGCGTTCTTCCTGATGGACCCTGTATTACATTTATTTATGTCACGATAAACTTCACATATTTCGTTAAAGTAATATAGTCTTAGTAGTGATTAAATGTTCAAAATTCCAATTAGCGTCCATACGAAAAAATAAAGTTGGTTTTGGAAGAGCTACATAGGAAATTAGTTTTTGAAAAATGTAAGGTTTATCAGTGTTAACGTATGACACGTCATACATTTTTAGAATCAGACTAAAAAAATGTGCATCTGTACAAAAATCCAATGTGACGTCCATAAGTAAAAACAATGTTGAAGCTGGCCGAAACATCATATTGAAAAAGTACTATAAGTAAAGTTAGAAAAAACTTTTTTTAAAAAATACGCAACTTTGCCCCCATTTAAGCGACTTCGTATCTCTTACCGTTCCCGAAATCCCAGTGGTGAAGGTCGAATTTGAAACACCCGGTGTAAAGTTTTGTATATATCTCGGGCGTAATAAGCGCCTGCGGCGCTTCTCGCCTTGGGCTATTGATTCAAGCCACGGGCCATAACCGCCAACTTAACGCCCTAGATATATGAAAAGCTATTTTGAGTTCACATGATTGTGGATGGTTTCAACTCATCATCTGTCTACATTATCTCTCTCATCCATATGCATCTGTTATCCAAATCTGCCAGATGGATCTTCAGGTTTTAGATGATTTTGCACACGTACACTGTTCATCATTGCAAGAACTCATGATTCGAGAGATCCTTTGTCCCTGAAGCATCGAGAATGTGGAACAATCTAGTAATAGACTGCTCGTAATTTAAAGCGCATCAACAAAGTTTCCCTAACTTCTGTTTAGCAGTCGTAGTGTTTCGGTATTCATGGTTTACCTTCGTGACTGCTATGGTATAACAGTAAACTTCTCAAAGGGTTTACCAATAATCAATATTGAACTTAAGTCTGTAAAGTATTAATGAGGCAATCCCGTTCCCAAAAATAGGACGTACAGCCCTCCTAAATGACAAGCGAACATCAGGCTATCTGCCGTTTTTCAATGCACCAGATACGACACCCTCGTCCATCGTCCCGAAGACGAAAGATAGAGAGATCTTGGGGGCCAAGACAAAAAATCGACTTGTGATTGTCTTCAAAATTGACCAAAGTAACTCGGGGTATATATCGCATATTAAAGGAAAATTGGATTGCTGAGCGTCCTTATATAAGGCAAAACATGTCATTCCCTCAAATCCTAGATGTAACTCATGCCGGCTATGTCGTCTCTGATAAACACCAAAAGGTAGCCCACAATAAGCAATAGCCCCTGATATCATAATTCTAACAGTGTGGTGCACATTTCAGCCTCACACAAGCCCACCATTCGCCCCTATCAGACTCGCTAAGCTGTTGGAAAATTTCTTGTTTTCTCGCTCTATTCATAATTAACAGATTAAAGCAGCAAATAATGCCAATTGTAGCTACAAAACACATATATCGCTTACTTACTGATTTTCAAAACCAGACTATACCACAACAACCAATTTATCATTATGGTTCAGAAGCTAACCCCTTTTTGTCCTATCTTGGACAAACATATACATACCTATAAAATCTTTTTAATCTACAATGACTTTAATTAGACTGACGTGATATTACTTTAATTTGACTATTTTGTTGCAGATTTGGATTTTTGCACATTTTTCGTCCACAGCGACGTCGATCAGTCGCTGATTGAAGTGGACGAAGATGGGCGAAAAACAGCACTCCGTTTACCTGTCCCAGTTGAAGGCTATGTTGAAGAGGAACATCCTACTAAAAAAGAGAGAGAAGCGGAAAACCACAGCGGTAAGTAAACCATGATGATTCTTAATATTATGTGGTTCTCTTCGACGTTTCATTGGTGACATTGATCAGACCACGACTCTAATGTATCGATCAATTACTGTGTCGAAACTGTTCGAGCAATTCATTCGCCACGACAGTAAGGAATGAAAAACTTCAGGATTGAATTCGGTTTTGGTAACAATAGATACGGGCCAGGTACGTTGATCCATTCATGCGCATCGCTAACCGAGACTCACCTATAAAGAGAGCCATAGCTGCTCCCACCGTTTACCCCCAAATCAAGGTTAGACTGGGGAGGGCTTAATTCCGATACCGTATCAAATGCGTGATCTATTTAGTTTGGTATGTATTTGAATCGATCTTCAGGCTGAATAGAAACTGTTTGATTTCTATCTCTACGATCATAATCTACCATATACAACGTTGTTTCATGCTTTCTAGCAATCCTAAGTACACATGCCCCATATACTGGGAGGAGACGAAACAGCGTTCCACTTTCTGGGCTATTGCCCCGTATATTGCGGTCTAAGGGCTGAGATATTCGGGACCATGGATGAGATTTGCTAGTGCAGTTGCTTACTCAGCTGAATAGTTCGACAGTTTAATGCAGGGATGTCCAACTTAATGTGGCCCAAGGGCCACTTCAAAAAAAATGCAGTTTGGAGGGCCGCATTATAAAATCTTTCTATACAACATTTTTCCTGAGTTTTAATAGGTATATACTATACTATATGATATACAAAAATAGTTTTTCTATTATTTTTATTTATTCAAAAAATATGAAATTACAAAAAAATCAGTGGGACATTTGAGGATGTTGGTTTTCTAATACTAATGCATCAATATTAACATTAATATTCTTCGAAATGTTCTTTACAACTTGGAAAAAATGAAAAATCATTTTTTTGTAATGAAGACTTGAAAAGCTTAATTTTATTCTTAAACCCATTTATGTGTCCAAATAAGTTGGCAATATTCTGCTGTTTTCCTTGTAGCTTCAAATTCAATTCGTTAAGGTGAGATGTCATGTCTGTTAAAAATGCAAGGTCTGCTAAAAATTGTGCATCTGCCATTTGATCTTCCAGTTCCGTAGTGTCGGACTTCATTTTTAAGGAAAATAGGGATTTCCTTGCGTAGAGCGAAAGTCGTTGCAAACACTTTCCGGCGCTTAACCAACGAACATCGGTGTGAAGTAACAAGTCCCCATATGTAGCATCCACTTCGGCTAAAAAATCACGAAACTTTCTGTGAGTCAAAGCACGATTGCCCCCTCTAACAATATTAGTTATTTTAACAGCCACTTTCATGACATTTATTTGACGTAAAGATTTTCCACATAAGCTCTCTTGGTGAACAATACAATGTATCATAGGACAGTTGATGCTGTTTTGTTTCAATAGTCCTGCAAATCCAATTTCATTCCCTGTCATAGCTCTGGCGCCATCAGTGACAATACAGGAACATTTATCAAATCCCCGTAGTCTGACACCAACTTATTCACAGCTTCTAAAATATCTGTACCCTTGGTTGTACCATGGAGAGGAATAAGGTCAAGCATCTCCTCTGCTACACTGAAGTCGTCTTGAATAGTTCGGATAAAAATTACAAGCTGGCTAATGTCAGACAGATCAGTACTTTCATCTAGGCATAGCGAAAAATATCTACATTTTTCAACCACGTCACGCAATTTTTTGGATACATGTTCATTGATATGGTATGGTATGGATTTCGAAACTCCCTCAGTGACATTGCCCTTTGCGACTTCGTATCTCTTACCGTTACCGAAATCCCAGTGGGTCGAATTTGAAACACCCGGTGTAAAGTTTTGTATGTATCTCGGGCTTGCAATTGTTTGATGCGATACTGAGACTGTTTCAAATTTTTCGGCAACTTTTAGTTCATTGAATTGTTTCGCCATTTCTATTGCACAGTTTTTGATAAGCACTCCATCACTAAAAGGTTTTTTGCTTTGGCAATTTCCAGCGCTATTTTGTAAGGCAATACTGCACTTGTTATCAGAGTCAGATTTTTTGAAAAAACTTGTTTGTTGTTTTAGTTTTTTCTTGTATTCCGTTATGATAGCCTGCCTCGAGTCCCCTGAATATTGCCGAAACGTTTTCTCGTGTGACGTAGTGTAATGTCGTTTCATATTATATTCTTTAGGAACCGATAGTACTTGCATACAAACAATGCACTGAAGTTTGAGATTAAATATTCTGATTCCCAACGGTCATTATAAACTCGATGTTCGTTCGTTATTTTTCGTTTCTGTGAAGACATATTTCACGGAGTATTTCACTTGAAAAGGCTTTAGAGTTGCTGTGTACTGAAACGCACTAGCACTAGAACAAAACTGCCTGTCATTCCATCCTTGCCTAGGGGAGTGCTAAACATCTCTCCTTTCATACAACACAGTGCCTGTCCCGCTTGATTCAACCTTTTTATATACGCGCCCGTGGCTTCTCGAATATTCGGGGATGATCAAGAGATCGGTTCAATCTCCAGTAAATTCGCTGCGGCCTGCTATCGGTCTCCAGTGGCGTCACATGTTATTGTATTTTATCGTTAATGTAAGAATTGTGCATATTCGGTATTTGAGAGTAATTTATTTATGTGATGTATACATGAGCCGTGAAGCAGGACAGCCCTGGTTTAATGAATTAACAGGTGGAGTAAAGTGTCTGTACACTCGGGCTCGGCGTTGACCCCTGTTATCGTTGATTAACGTGTTCTACCTAAAGATATCCAACCAAATACTATATCAAGGCGTTCAAAAAGGGATCTGGTACGTACGCTATTTATGAGACTGTAGCTGAATACAAAATGAATTTAGAAAAATACTTCGCTTCTGCTTCTGTCCCATAGATGGCTCTAGGATCTTCAGGCCCTTTTTAGCTTCTCTAGTGCGTATTTTAATTGTGTATGCTTAGATATAATACGTTTTTGATACAATTCAGTTCTAATAATATATTTACTTAGATATACCGTTTCGTTTGGCAACAGCAAATACAGTTTTACCCTTTCTCACCCGCCTAAGCAATTCACACCCGGCATATGTTACGCCCAGTTTAAAAATTCATTTAGGTGATATGTAAAACTATGTAATGTCTGTAACGGTAATAAATATTGTATAACATGCCTGTCAACCGCGCTTCGTACACAGTCATGACTTCGAAGTGTTACTCGTATTTATATTCATCCAACTCAAATAGAACTCCTGCAGCTCCAGTTGGTGCTCGATTCTGCTAAGCACATTATATCCAGTCGTTCAGGCAAAATTCGCTGAAAGTTCAGGGCTGTGGAGGAGTGACGGATAAGGGAAAAGATAGGATTATCCATCTGGAAATTGTGCCGGTTGGAAATTGGGAAAAATCGAGCGTGCTAGGGTAGCGAGATGAAAGATGTTTTATAGATCAGTGAAACGTTTTGCGATCATTTTCTAGAAGTTTTCCGTTTCAATTTTCTAAATGCTATTCACTTAAATGTTTTTCACATAAACGTTGTCTCTGAAAACGTGTATGTGTGTATACCTTTTTCAGTTTTGAATGCTTAAAATATTTCAAGTGTTTAATATCTGTGTATTATTCGTTTTTCAAACCGATAGACTTCGTAAAGGCTTCGCAGCAATCGCGCATGGGTCATTTGACCTAATTTTGCATATTTGTTAACATGACGACTTCATCACTACATGGAAACAAGTTGTATGAAAAACGGATGAATAAATAACAGCAGATGAGCTGTCCAGCGGCGCGTTAATTACATTCAATCCGAGTTCTCTTTGCTAGGCTTTTCATCATTCAGCGTAACATTATTTTTATGCAAAACGTGTGTTTTTGTGGTTTAGCTATCAAATACAACATAATCGTCAACAGATTCCTAAAATGAATTTTCAAGTAAAAACGTTTGTTGACATTATCATTTGAAAATAGCTGGGAATGATTGCTGTTTTGCAAACGAATAAATAATAATAATAATAATAGTAACATCCATTTATTCGATTCCTTCACAAATACATATTTTGGGTAAGGAGAGGTACTAAAAATTTGAAATTAAAGAGTCGAAATGTCTTAGTGTTACCTTAAGGTATTTTTCAACTCTGCCATCAAATAAAATTGGAAACATGAATAAGAAAAGTTTCGTAAAATAATGAATATCCTTACACTTTTTCGGCGATCCATCAACCAAAACTTCCAAAAAACAATATGAGATACGTCAGTTATCGATAAAGCACTGCTTCTCATCATAAACTTCTCTTAATCAACACTACGGGGTTTTCCGGTCAACGCAATATAATAACCCGAACCTAACTTTACTGCTCTACTCTACTCTCACCCAACCTACTGTAATCCACCTCTCACATATCACAAAACCTCTCCAGTTTATTACGTAAGCTCCACAATACTTGCTGACAGACATCTCAAATATTCAACAGCAATCAACAAGCAGTGGCGGATTCAGAGGGGGCGTCCAGGGGGTCCAGGCCAAAGTTGAGTGTATTTTCGGACAAAATATCCCCTAACTCAGAAGTAGCGATCCATACCCTAAAGTCTGTTATCTCAAACTTCTCCCTGAAAAAGGCCTTTCACAATATACTAAAATATACAAGACATTCCATTTAAATTCCTGTTTGTGTTGCCACATACGTAGTTACGAATCACCTTAGCAAGCAGAGTATATTGGCCTGTAGTTTTTTTAAATAACTTACTTCACATAATAACGGAGCTTTTGATCGATAACACCCTAAAAGGTATTTAGAAGGGTGAGCTTCGTGGGTTAGCTTGGCCACAAGACCCTTTTTAGGACACTATTAATAAGGTAATCCGTTATGGACAACGAATTCAAACCAGCTAGAAGGAGTCAGTCAAGCATTTATTTGTCTCTTAATTCTCATAGTCTGTAATGTGTTTGGAGCCTCTATACCAAGAGGACCGGCAGAATGAGTAAAAACGACCCCAAAACTTGTCGTCTGACTGAGGGTGCAGTGATCGAAGCGAGTACCA